GACTGGAAACAGAGACCGCGCATCTCAGAAATAATTCTTATGGCTGTGCACGATAAAATACTCGATAGTGCAATCGAAGATCGAGTATGTATAATACACCGAGCCCGTCCAAAACGATCCGGATGATATTAATATTAATGGGATCTGTATTAATGTCGATGCAGTTTGCGAAAAGGCCGATCATTTTCATCCGCTACCACGTAATCTTTCGAGAGAATCTAATTACTCGCGAGTCTCCATTTCGCGGTGGCTAACGACAATTCCGAGCTCCGAGTGGCTGATAAGCGTGTCCGCGTTCTCCACATTAACTCTACCAAAGATCGTTTTTCAAGAGAGAATCATTTTGCCCGAGATATCTTGGTCGGATCCCATCAATTAGTCACACATAAAAGGGATCCTGCTTTTAATTAAGCGCCAATAAAAAAATGGTCGTCGAGAAACGTTTGCAAAAAATGTTTAGCGCAGGTGTACTGTGAGAAACTTATTATATATAGAGAATTTAATGTAAGGAATAATTAAGTCTTCTTATATATGTATATTATATTTAAAGATTGCATATAGATAATTGCGTTTTTTATCATCAATGTTTAATGCAATTTTTTTGCTGAATCATAAAAGGACGTCTTATAAACGTTCTCGCATTATGTCCATAAAATTATTAATTTTAGATTTATTGCACGTTGAGAAAGAGCAGCTGATTTATCGAAAACAAATTAATGAATTTTTTAACAGACAAGCAACAAATTATTTATGTCAAGAAATTTTTTGAAACTTCGTGTTTTTATTCATAAAAATATACAAGAGTACATTTTTGACGAGATTTAAATGCTTTTCTACAATATAACATTTTCTAAAACATAACAGTAATTTGTAAAAAGTAATAAATAAAAATATAGTTAACATAATATATGTAAGCATATACATATATTTGACTTTTACATTTGACAATGTAAAAAAATTCGACTAAATAAAGCAACTTATTCATTGATTTGCAATGCACAGTGCCAAACGCTTCTCATTTGATGTAAATTTATGCATATGTCATACAAAATATTCTTCAAAATATAAATCGATAACGATGAGATATTTTTATGAGAGATAAAAATATCTACATACGAATTTGTTCGACAGTTTCAGCGCGCATTTTGTTTTACCGAACTGAGAATTGAGAGAAAGTTCTTGAGAGGAACATCACGAGTGTATAAAAATGCAAAAAAACCAGTATGCACACTATACAATTCGAAAGCAGGTATACGGTACAAGTGTATCACAAAACTGGTCGATGGTCAATTACGGATTTTCATTGATCTCTTCTACATGCGATTTACGATGAGATTTTACTATTCGCAACGACAATCGAACATGTTTCGTTGCACCATCGCTGTCTCTTTTTTCTCTTTCTCTCTCTCTCTCTCTCTCTCTCTCTCTCTTATTATAAACCTTACTCGTATATGCATCTTAAATTGAATTCGGCTCGAGCGAATCCCGTGATATGTCGCGCGCGTACGATTTCTTATCGGAGCGATTCTGTCTCCGGCCAATCACAATTTGACGTTCTCCTTTTTGACTGCCTTGTCGCTATTCTATCACGTGAAATGCGCTGTGCCATCGTTATGGACGCAGAATATTTTTTCAAGAGCCCTATCAAGAACTCCACCTTCATACTTGACACTCGAGTAGCGTGTGTACGATTCGATGTCTTTTATCGCGATTTGCTCTTGTTACCCGTTCCTTACATACGAAACTTAACTTATTACGAATCTAATATTTCGTCCGTCACGCAACATACGCTGTCGTGCTGTGTAAAGCTGTTATTAAAAATTACGCTGCATACCTTTCGTGACAAACTGTCGCCATCGAGCGTTTCAAGCTTTTAGTGGTAGAATTGAGATTTCATAAAATTTTTTAGATTACCACAGCTTGCGAATGATGATATGCAATCCCAATAAATAAAAAAAAAGATTATATCATAGACTTTAAAGTTAAGAATCAGTAAAATGCACCGTAAATATTTATAATAGAGAACAGAAATATATAGTTTGCATTTTGCATATAAGAAATATAAAATTATTAAACGCAGTGAATATAAGAAATAGTTTAAAAAATTGCATTATTTATTAATCAGCAGCACACATGTTTCATACGGATCAATTGAGTTATATATATTATATTGCAAAACAGATAGCTCTTGAGACAAGTATTATTTAAGTTTTACGCTCCAAAGATTATTTGTTACACATGTACAAAAAAATGCTAAAAAAACAGGTAGACAGCATTAAAAAAATGTCTTGATTATTATATAGTATCCTTCTATTAAAATATCTATAAAACATATAACTGCGCGTGCATACAAGTACTGTAAGATACAAAATCTATAAACTATGACATAATTTCATCACTATCTTAATTGCTCGAGATGTAAAAATTCAGCAACATATACATATATATATATATATATATATATATATAAATTTTTTAAGAACGATAAAAACACATATATATTATTTTATGTATATATTTCGAAAAGAGTACAAAAGCACTCTAATAAGATAAGAATTTTGATTTTATTATTGAATTTGATGCCAAGTATTTAATGTTTTAAAAGCTTCTGACTATTTTATAATACTATACATAATGTATACGAAGAATAAAACTGAATTTACGATCTGTTCTTATTCCCGATATAATACTTTAAAATAAGATTTTAAAAGTTCTAATTGTAGATGAAAACATTTCTATTCCGCGACCGATCTTTACAAAAAAATAAATATTTTATTATTTTAAGCTATAAACGCTATAAACATTTATATTTCGTGAATTTACAATGTTTGTAAAATATAAGTCTATATTGCTCAATTATATGTACGTATAAGTTTCTTGTCAAAGAAATAATCAATTTTGAATACCAAACTTTTGTGATAAGGCAGAACATAAATATGTTAAATCAAACGAGAAAAAGAAAAATGTGTTTCGCATTGTGATAACGTTCTTTTGAACATTTGATGTTATTCGACATTTTACTTGACTGTATGTACAGAGCAATTCTTGAATATGTGTAATATTATTTAATTAGCAACATTACACACAAAAGATACGTGAAGCAAAATCATTATTAGTAAATAATTAAATAATCGTATAACCGTTAAAAAAATCAATAGTCATAATTCAACATACGAGTACCCATGTGGGATTTTTTTTTTTTTTTGTCATGTGTTCATCTTTTCATTCAACTACAATAATGTTGGTCTCTTTGTGTGGTTGGATAAAAAGAATCCTATTGGGTATATATAGAACGTGTGTGTGTAAGATATTCATGCATGTCAAGAATATTAACATAAAAACAGGTATACCTATACAGATATTGAATTTTTCTCCGCGACTAGTTTCGTTTTACGATCGTAAGTTGTTTCTATGCGAAAGCTACATACACATATACACTTTTTTTTCAGTTGAGCTTTATTTCCTATCTATCTCAGTACGCCTTCCCTCCGTCTTCAGTTATTTAGATTGCATTGTTTGCATACGCGATACTTATTGTTAATGCATTATACGACGATTTGAAATACGTCGCATTGAGCTTGCCGAGGACAAGAAATCTGAGGCTGTAAGGAATAATAAAATATATAGCTTTGTATATTTTTTTATTTCTCTCTCTCTCTCTCTCTCTCTCTATATATATATATATATATATATATATATATATATCACAATGCGAATGATTGGTATCTTAACTTTGTGACTGTATGGCTATTCCATAGGTCAATGCTTCATTAATTAAATAAACGCAAAAATGGAATACGAAAATGTCAAAGGATCTAAAAGATTGCAACAAATATATATATATATATATATATTTGTTGCAATCTTTTAGATTCTTTGACATTTTCGTATTCCATTTTTGCGTTTATTTAATTAATGAAGCATTGACTTATGGAATAGCCATACAGTCACAAAGTTAAGATACCAATCATTCGCTGCTGTGTCGACTGCTGACGCAATATTACGCACTCATCTGTAAATGCGAAGAAATATTTGACACTAATGTTGTCTGAATTTTCGAATTTTAAAACATGGATATTTTCTTAAGAACAGAATAATACAGTAAAATGTGTCGATCAAAGATATCGATATGAAATTATATACATCGAGATATTTCCATACTTATAAACATATTTTACATATGTATGTAATATATTGTCATATATTTTTCAGTTGTTTAGAAAAAAATTTAAAGAAAAAAATAATGAATATATTGCGATTATCTGCTCTTTTATCGATATGTCCAAAAAAAGAATCTTAGAAAAATAATTACTAAATATAATTAACATATTACAACGAAATGTACATGCACAATGGATGTTATTTAACAGAAAAATAAAAAAAATCGCAATTTTTTTATCGCGTCTTCAATATAATTGAGCAGAAAGTAAAACGTTTTGTATTTTTTAATTTTATTGCCAGAACATATGTCTCTCCTCTGCAAATATTATGTAAGAAATTATTGCTTTACACATATACATACTTTTTGTCATTATGCTATCTCTAATAAATATTTTTGCATTAAATTAATCTCTAAATTGTTTTCTGCACATTACAAGTACTACAGAAATTCTATTCTTGAAATTTTTAGTAGTATCTTTTTATTTGAAGTCTTATACTATTTTACTTTTATTTATTTTTTAAATATAATAGCAGAATAAAAATGCGAAAGAATGTCAAGTGTCGTTTGACAGCGTGTGTCGTGCACGTAGCCGCAATATTATATAATCTATGCGACAGATTTAACGATCTGTCGATCGATGGATTCAATCGTAATATCTCGACATTTCGTTTAGAAAACCGACTACAGAAGTGTATCCTACACTGGCGCACAAGGCACTGTCCCCTTGCCTCTCTACCCGTGCATCACCGGGGGAATAATCGCCGCGACGTGTTCCCTCACTCTGCCAGCCGAATGTCCCCACTCCGCGGCCAGCGTGTATTTTGCCGCCGCTACCACTACCGGTACTCTCAGTGAGTTACGGACTACAGGTGTGGATCGAGCGTACTTAGTGGCTTCCGACAGTGTCTCGGTTAGGTTTGCTTCGCCGTTTCTTGCATCTTGCTTCGCGTACCAGTCAATAATTCGCGAACGACTGAGGGTCATCGATGAGATTTTCTCGATCGAAGGATTTAGAATCGAGCTAGTGTGTTCAAAGTAATCATTGACGAGAAAGAAGAAAGTGAATATTCGAGAAATAACAAAAGGACTGTGTGTGTGTATGTGTGTGTAAAGAACGAGACCTTGAGACGAAGTGCGCGTGTGCGGTAAGTGTTTCTTTGGCGGCTCCTTTATCGCTCTCGTCGTGTCTTGTCGCGCTACCGTTCTTCGAAACGTATCATCGCTATATATCCGTGTATCGTTGAGAAAAAGTCGAACTGCTTATTATCGAGGAGACAGACTAATAAAGACTGAGAAAGATATATCCGTACGTGGATATATAAAAACGGACACAAGGGAGAGAGGTAAAAAAAAAAAAAGACGAGGAGAGAAAAGTGGCGGAGAAAGGAATATCGCATTTCCGGAGGCGGAAACTTCCTGTATAACGTTTCACCTGTGTGTTTAATTGCATGCATGCAATACGTAATTTACGTTCGTCGGAGTGTGCGCATCGCAATAATAATCTGCAGCTATCGCGCGTCGTTGATGAGAGTGCGCACGTGCGGCAAACTTAAGTCAGTTACGTCGGCATATTTTGACCGGAACCGGTGAATCGCGCGAATAAATTACGTTTCATACGCGTTTCTCAATCTCGAGTGTGCCGCGTCGGCGGATCTCGCGTGATTGTTAGATACAGTGTTCGCGTGTGTTGAGAAAACTAGTGAACCCTCGCACGACTGCCAATTTATCGTCCACGAAGCGTTCGTTACACGGAAATAGCCATTGACCGCGAAAAGAGAGAAATAAAATACAAGGTAATTCAACATCGCGAAGAATTCTATTATTGTCTTCTTGTTATTGTTGCAATAGTCGCGCGCGTTTTTTTTCTCGGTAAAACTGTACAAATAACGTCTAGAAATGAATAATAAGTAAAGCATAAGTGGTAGAAACAAATGTAAAAACACACTTTCATTGAATATTATTGATTATACCGAGGAAAATTGTTTGATATATATTGAAGGTGATCTGCTTCCGAATAATTTTGATCAAAGTATGCATTAATAATTCCAAATATTAACTTTGCGTCCGACTACTCTTTCATAATTTGTAAATATTATTAGAAAAGTAAATATTTTAGCATATATGTATATATATTATTCACAATACAATACTTGAGCTGAGAGGCTCTTGAAGCAATTGAAACAGAATATTAATTATTTATTGATGCAACATATGTTGAAAACAATATATTCTGAGAAAAATTATATTCTGAGTTTATTTCAATTTATGCTTTTTAAATTATATTTTTTTTTCTCTACATAATTCTTTTTATCCTGTATAACAAAAGAAAGAAACAAAGGCATTCTGTATGTCAGTTTTTGTAATTCTTGTTATTTCATTTATGCACGCCAAATATTAATTATATAAGAATTATATAATAGAGGAGCGTATAGTGCAAGTTCGCATAAATCAAAATAAAATATCCATTCTGAATCTATTTGAATCAACTTCCAATCTTGAAAGATTCACGCAATTTTTACAATGCGAATTTTACGTATCGCGGAACGCGCACTGTCGACTTAATGATATATAACTTTCGATTATTCATTTGCAATAAGGACAAAGTTTTTAGAATGTTTGCACGAATTTGTTTTATGTTATTTTCATGCTTTTATTCCTTAAAAACTTGCGATTGTATCTTGGACAAGTCGCATAATGAGATTTAATCGATTCCATACAATCTCTTATTATCACTTGCCTACCAATCTTCTTATCGATGCAAGAGAAGTATCTGAGGATAGATCAGCCACTTAACTTTATTGGACGTAATGAGAAAATTGTTCTAAAAATGTATGCTATCTTTTAATAGAGCTACATCTAGTTTGCCATTTTATCTGTATATCCAATCTTAGGCAAACGCCTTTATCTCGCCTGTGTATAGATATTTTTATTTCAACTGAAATATTTTTTATAGAATGTATACTTTCATGTTTTATAATCTATCGAAATATTAAATTAAAAATTTTAAAATATAAGATTAATTTGTGCTGTGCAAAATAATAAAAAATTAAATAGACAACTACAATTTGTAAATAATAATAATAATTATAATAGTAATGTTTATCGAATGCTTGAATGAAAGAATTAGAAATGTTACAATAAAGTTGTAGATCAGGATCGAGACATGCAAATGACGTAGTGTGACAGGTAACACATTAAAGAAGGTCAAAAAGAAATCTAACAAGTCTGATTAGGTAGTTTGTTTTGATACAGTCATTCACGAAAGTATTTGGACAAGCATATGTGAATAACACAAGAAATATACTTTTAATAATAACTTCAATAATTACATTTTTTCTCTAAAATGTATATTTAAATTAATCTATTATTTCTTGCATTATTACAAAGAATATAAAATTTATGTTTAATAAAAATATAAAATAATTATGAAAAATAAAAGCAATACGAAAATGCGTGTATATATATACTAAATTGTTAAAATTGTTTTAAAAATATGTACATGTACGCATTTTTGTGTTTTTTCGTGAACGACCGGACACTTTTATGAATGACTGTACTTCGCAATTGATGGAATTTGTCAAGACGTGCCAGGATGTTGTCAGTTAAAAAATTGCGTAAACGAGGTACACACAATGTAACTAAGCGAATATGTATTCGCTTCTTCTACTACGTTTCGCGGTTCGCGTTTCGCACTGCCAAGATCTATTCGCGAGAATCGCGTTCGCGGCGATTTCATCGCGATAACATCGAGACGCAGCGCACATGTATATGTATATGCGATTTATTCCAAGCCTTTCTCGTGTGCACAGCACGAATTTATGCGTAATTGGCTTACAGTCGGCTCTACCTTCGTAAACACTTTGAGATTTCTATCTGTGATTTTATTTTCGATTTTCTCTCTCTACATCTCTATTATATTGTTATTTATAGATATATTTCAATTATGCATTTCTTTAAATAAAATGTTGATAAAACTTCTTGCGATATTTGCAATATTAGAGTGATCAATTAACTCATTAATCTTCGCAAAAAATTAATTAAAAAAAAAAACAGATTAATCAGATTAAAAATAAAGTAAAAAACAGATTAAATTAATTGAATAGAAATCACAAGATAATTTTTTTAAACCACAAATAAGATTAGATAATTATGTAATTGATTGCGCGAATATAATTTCATATTATCATCATAGATTTGCGTAAGGGAATGAGATAATATTTTAGATTAACTTATATTACACGATTTTTGATAAATAATAGTTTTCTTACGCATCACAGTTGATCTGAGGAATAATCTGGTAAATCGGCTTGTCAGTTATCACGGAAAATATCGTGAATTACGTGACAATACTCGTATCACGCATGCGCATTTAAACCTCTGACATTATTATCACGAACGAAAGCAACGATCACTGCTAATGCTATTTATGCCATACAAAACTCACATCATTGTTGACTTTTTACATTTTATAGCGTTGAAATTTACTAATTTTTTAATGTTCCTGTCCTTAAAAAAGTTATTTATTCAAGCAAAAATGATTAAAAGTTATATAGGAAATTACTATGGTATCTATTCTCACGTGTTTACTAATTCAATTAAATGTATAACACGTTATTAAAAATTCATAATAGGTATGTAATTGTAATAATGTTGCGCATTCTAGATTTTGAAGCGATTGCATATATACCGAAGTTATTCCTTAATTAGGAATACTAAGAAATAACATTTGCGAATTTCTTTATCTATATTTAAAATTTTTATGACAATTATACACGCACACACATATACACACATCCACCAAATCACACGATACATCACATAATAAATTTGTGTATAATTGTTTTTGTTCGCTTAACTTTTGTGTTGTAATTGTTTTGTTTTTTCTTGATAACTATAGTGTTATATCTCATGAATCACATTTTTCTTTGATTCTGAGAAGTGTAGTATGTTTGAGAAACTCTGATAGTGATGAATATTTCTCAGAACCCGTGCTTGATTAAAAATCATAATACTTGGTTATACTCTACGATTTTACTTAAAACAAATGCATTTTGCAACATGCATACTTACATTCGTGGATAAACTTTAGCATGCATTTCTGATAGCAGATTATCTATTACATATTAATTAAAAGTAGGTCAAATTTAATTAACTTAATTAAATCGTTTTTATTTCTATTTTTATAATTTTCTTGATGAATTTATCTTTTACACCAATCTTATTTTTTTTTTAATCGAGACTTTATTCATTATCAAGTTTTACCTCGCGAGTTTCGCTTATAGTTTAAACTTTGATTGCATTAGTTCCATTTGAGTTCATTAATTCCACCAAAAAATACATCGTGTAATTCGAATTTGTGCAAAACATGAATCGATATTTAAATGCGATGTATATTTTTCGTGCAAACTTTTTTCATAAAACTTTGCAAAAATTACATTTATGTTACTTACACTGCACACAATTTCTGATAATATTTAATCTATGTTTTTGGATTATTTTATGTTTTAAGTTTTATGTTTAACACAATTAGAAAGAATGTGAATTATGGAATTTAAAAATTTTCCGGATAATTGAAAGAGCAAATATAAATATTTTTATTTACTCTAGCTTACCTGACATTGGCAATTCTTGTAGAATAAATATATTTACACAATTTAAATTATTCGGCAATTATTAATTGAATGAATAGCAGTTAATTGACATTTTCTTATACTATATATTATTTTTACTAATAATAAAACATATGTACATCTATTTCTAAATTTTACTTTACTCTGGATGATATTAATATATATTTTAAAAGATGATTGAATATATTTGAAAAGATATTTAAAAAAAAAATATAAATAATGAAATTATTAATATAAAAATAGTGAGATTTACATAACATTTTTTATAATATCTGTTATTCTCATATGTAATTTGTGATCCTTTGCTGTTAGACAAGTCTTGAGTATTTAATGAGAAAGGTTTTGATGTGTTGTATTTCTTATGTGTCGTATCTTTTACCTGCCTTGACCATCTGTGGCGGCGTCAGTATAGAAATTTATCTTTACCTTAGCGAGATCGTGACTCTTGTGTCCTTCACAGTGGCTTTAGCCATGTCAGAATTTATCATAATTTTTGTAGATGTAGTTTATCCATTATCTTATTTCAAGCTCAAATATCTTTTATCTAAACATAGATATACGAATAACCGTTAGTGATCTTAAAATATTATTACATTTGTTTTATAATAAACACAACGTAGTTTTAAATATCACATTTTTTGACAATTTTAGTTAATATTAGATATATTTTTTTCCATTTATTATTTAATGTAACATTTGCAGTAACGATATTAATAAAAAATATTTGCTTTTTCTAATTTACATAATTTACATTATTTTCGAAACATTTTGATTATTTTATCATATACACTTGGCTATTTACATTTTAAGATTTTATCTCATATGCGATGATAATATTTATTCGATAAAAAATTTTAATTGATGTGTGTTAATAAAAACCTTACGAATAATGCTAATATTTATTTACCTATCTAATATTAACGAATACGCTTAAAAATTGCGAATAGGTATACTAATTTATGTGCATTATTTTGTATCGAACCAATGTAAAAATGGATACAAGCTGTCACACTATGACGTTGATTATTTGAGTCGATTAAAAATTCTTTTTTTTGTCCTTGTCAAGGCAGACAACCTTGTTATTCAAACCGAGGTAAATATGAAGTATTTCTTTATTCTTCTAGTGGTGTTTGTAATGACATAGACCGATCGCGAATGTATCAGCTTATTTTACGATTCTTAAATCGATCATCATAAAAAGATGGATGGCGAAATTACATTGTATTGATCCATCATGAATAATCTACACAGGCGAGATACAGTTTGATAATTGATATTGCGTATCGAGCAATAGGATAAATGCTAAACTATACTCGGTTCGAAAAAATACGGCTAATATTACTGTATAAAAATTATTTTTTGTGTGAATTCAGTGTCATTCTAACAAATTAATGAATTTAATTTATATACTCTTTAATGTAAAGTATTGAAACGTCAAATACAATAAATTAAATTTGTTCATTGAAATAAACTCAGAATTATAAATAATTGTTTTAATTAACGAAAATGTTTGATAACCTTTCTTTTTTCTTTATATTTTGCTTCTTAGATCATAGTCATAATTTAACTATTTTTTAATTTTAATTTTTTTAACATCTAAATGATCAACTTATGCTATTGCTATTTCAGAAAATAGAAATATAAAGATTTTAAATATGAAAAATACATTTTACAAACTACAATTTGACGCGAAAATAACAGACAATTGCCCTTATTTCATAGGTAGTTATCCGAATCGATTTCTTCAACATCGCCAAAAGATTTGGTCATTTCTTCTTGTCTTAAGAAAGAAACAGAAGATATCAGCGCTTTTCCTGTATTAGTAATAAAATTTTACGAACGCCATGAATAGTGAAGATAGTGGATTTGACCAGTCATCAATAGAAAACTCACCTAAATCTTCGAGGAAGAAGATGGTCAAGAAGTTATCAATAGAAGAGTCGCTTAAAATTTTGGTCAGCAAACTCACAGACAAAGGGGGAAAACACGGATACCACTTTGCAGATTTTGCAAAAATCATAATAGAAAATCATTGTACATTCTTGGCCACAAGACCAACTGTGAAGGCCAGTATTGCACATGTAAACTCTGCACGAGAGCGCGAAATGAACAAATGACTTCGGCAGAAGAGACAAGAAAGTCCAGAGCGATGACGAATCGTCAATTGGAAAAAAAACTAAAAGATCTGAAGAAGCAATATAATATACCGGTTAGTTCTTTTTTTTGTTTTTCCATATAATTCGATTGGAAATTTTGTATATAATTATTGTAGTTGCAAAATATTACTCAGTATTTAAACGAAGTTAATCGAGGTTTATGAAAGATCATTTTTTAATTGATGGTTTAAACTTATTTCTTTAAAAACATTATTTTGTATATTTTTATAAAATAGATTATAGGTTTAGTAATTTTTTTATTTGTATTGATTTTAAAAAAAATCTTTGAAAATGCACTATATAGAGTTAAATAGAATAAATATGCGAATACAAATTCAATATCATCAAAATATTTATTCACGTATGTGCATATACGATCTTTAATGTTTAAAATTAATTATCGCGTTGATAATAATACAGCTGACATATATTATACGAAAAATTATAAATGAGTATTAAATTCGATGATGCGATTGTGATGTACATATATATTTCCTATAATATTTTCTTTATGTTATTATAGTCGATTTTTTTTCCAGGAAGATATTCCAATAGATGATAAACTACCAATAACAGAATTTCAACTCAATAAAGAGAAAGTGGAGGAAAGAAAAGAAGCAGCATCTTTCTTTTTATCTGAGAAACCAAAGTCAAATAAGCGAAGAAGGACAAATGAGCTAAAGACAAATGAGCTAAACACAAATGAGCAGAAAAAAGACATGGAGGAAATAATCTTTTCGAGGAGTAAGTAAAATTGACATTTACATTCATACATTTTTTATGTAGTCTTTAAAATATCATCCAAGTACCTAGTTATTACATGATTAGTATAAGTAGCGTGAGTTAACCATATGATCTGTGAATACAAATACGAAGTAAATTGATAGGTAAGAAAATACTTTCGTATCTCTGCACAACTTTCCTTACGGATTAAATTGAAACACATGATTACTCTGTGTTTATATTGAGTCAGCTGTTGTTATTCACAGCGACAGTAACATTTTCTCAATCGATAGGGTCGCGTCGCGTCATATCGTCACGGAGTTATGATTTCTCTACGAATATTTCTTCAATGCGCTCTCGTTGATGCGCAAGATTTATTTGGCATTTAAACATTTCACGTAGGTTATAGTAATATCTATAAAGCATTATTTAATTGACGATATCGTGATTTTTATATTTTACATTGCGATGTAACAATGTTATTTAAGATGGTTAAATATATTTGACAACAGTTTTAAAAATCTGTTCTCAACTGTTTTGACATGTTTTCTGTTATATAATTGTTATATGCAGTTATGTAATTGTTTATGATTTTAAAAATAATTTGGATAATATAATTTCGGGAAAAATGTATAAAATTATATTGACATTTCGATATATGAAATACGAAGTTTAGAATTTTTAAAAGTTACAATAGTATGGATGAAAGATAATCACGCACGTACTCTTCATATACAATTGAAATACTACCTGTGTTTCTTCACAAATATAGCCGAGTTTCTCAGATTATTTTGTTAGATCGATACATATTTTGCAGACGATACTGTTTTCGTTTCGTGTGTTCATTAATCTGAATAAGAAATATTTCGATCTGACTGTTTACGTAATGATACATTTATAATTAACTATAAATCAATGAATCAATTTTTGTGCAAAAGAGATAAATGATCTTACGTTATATCTTTCAGAAATCTTTAGTTTTTTCTTTATTAAAGTACATGTTAAATTTCTCACAAATAAGATTATTTTCTTTGTACGCGATTTTATATTTGGTTTTTTATTATAAAATCTTATTCTTTATTATAAACTTCTATACAACATATAACATTTATAGAGCAATTTTAAAACGTTGGAATTTGTTGTAAAACGGATGACATCACGAAATTCTCAATTGCTCCGAATTTATTAATTTATTATGAGCAGCTGACATAACACTATTTGCTTGTTATAAGCTTTGATTTCTTTTCAATTTTGCGTGCTATGTACTGCACACATATTTGTTTATTCGAAACCTTTTCACTTGCTAGCACAAAATTATATTTTCATTAAGTCTAATATACACAGCACGGAAATATACCTATACTTAATGTGTACATGCGGTTCATCTATTTAATATGCATCTGTTTGATACACATACATATATGAATGTGCGCGATGAAAATTGAGATTGCCAACCTGTTGCATGCTCTTCTAGTCTCCATCCTCATCTGATTTTTTCCATCTTTCGTGCGTTTACGAAATTCATCTTTTATAATGGAAATAATATCAATATGGAAAGTTTAAGTAAAAAAATTTTTTTAATTTATTTAATATTAATAATCATATACTTTTACGCTTGCGATTTTTATGTGTTGAAGAATGTTTATTATTCGACTGTTGCTTTTCATTAAGCTGTGATATTTAAGTATGTAAAGGATGTAAAAATAACGAAAATATAGTACGAAAAAGATTCTCGAAAAAAGGGAGGATAATTAACCGTCTGAATGTATGAATTATGCGAACGCGCAGGTGTTTTGATTAACTTTAAATTAATATAATTGAAGAAAAAAAAGACTTAACGTTCGCGAACGAAGTGAGATTTGCTATCTAGCGATAGGTCGTTGGCCGGTCTTCGTGCATTCCGGTTTCTCGGATATTTTGTAACGGTATGACAGCACCGCGGTGCTAATAACAGTGCCAAAGCGTAATACCGGTGGTTATCGCACTTGTCTCATAGGAAGTCGAACTAAAATTTAATAACGCCATTAATAAAAATAAGAAAAGAATCGTAAATACGTTGCTGTCATTTAAAAAATATTAGAACGTTATTGCTGTCGTTAAAATAACTCGGAAAACATTTTTTTTCTCTTGGTTTTATCTTTTTCAGATTGTTTTAATTGGTTAAAAAATTAATTTTGCAATCATCATGCTTCAAATCAGTATTTATTATTATAATTTTGGAATTCCTATTTGTAATCTTGGAATATCAAATATGTACAACAAATTTTTTAAGCCGTGATAATTTATAATAATTCTAGTACCTACATATAATAGAAATATAAATTATCATATTCTTGCGTTTGTCAGCCAATTACGAAATAGAAATCTGAACTAATTTATTCTCAATAAAAATTAAAATTTTGAAAAAATTAATCAATTAACATGTATAACACTTTAATATGAAAAATTAATTTTCTTATTCAAATGCGACTTTGTTGCACACAGAGTGCAACAAGAGTAAACGCATGATTGTGCGACTCCTTTATTTCTTAACGATCTCCGCAAAGATTCCGACGAAATGCCAAAGTTCACGAACTCTGATGATGATCGCCTACATCACCATGATATCGTTCTAAGTTGCAATAAAAGTAATTATAAAATAAAGTATAACAGTGAGATAATAAGACCTCCGTTGCGGAGTTTAGGAACAAAGACTGGCATTTAGTAAACTTAAGTAAAGGAAGTTATTGCTTATCCTTATGCACATATATTTTAAATCTCTATCATTATACGATTATTGTACAAACTGTCATTTGACGAGGAAGAAAGAGGGACCATCTTTCATGGAGAAACAATTCTCAGACTGTTCTCAAATATTAAATTGGCTCAATATTGTTAATGCTCGATATTCTCAGTTTTTTTATAGATTATGAAACTAATTGTTTCTACAGTATTACTTACTAAATGTAAATTAATAAAATTTGACATATGTGCTATAGAAAAATTGTTTTATAAAATTTGCGAGAAAAAAATGATTTAGAAAACGATTATGTGATATTGTTTTATTTTGCGTTTCGATAATAATCTCAACCGAAGAATCCACATGTCGCTTCGCGCGTTTGTCATCTTTGATTTTAAAAACTTAGTATTTTAAAAACTAGTCGCAAGTCTCGAGACACGGTGAATAAATGAGGAGCGTACTTATAACATCGTTCACAATGATTCCAACGAAATTCAAGCTACTCTTTCACTTGACAACCCAACCGAATGTTAACCCTGGTTTTACGAGCGTTCCCATTGGTCGGCAGGCAATGCGAACCCGACTAATATAATATGAACTTATAACCAAAGCCGAAACCTAGAAGCTCGCTCTTGCTTTTACGAGCCTGCTCGTTTTTAAAAGTTATCGTTATTTTGCTCTTTTACGGATGAAATAGTTTGTTCCCGTAAATGAGCTGGAGCAAGCGAAAGTCTCTGCGTTCGGAGCTAACTAAACTTGAATTGACAATAGCTCATTCTTCTTTCTTATTGTTAGAGAGAACAATATATTTGTTTGTATCTGTGCGTTTACAAATTTTTCTTTATTTATATGCATATAATGAGAAAGATTGCAATATTTTTTTCATAAGAACGAAGAAATGCAATGGAAAGAGAAAGAGATATTTAATACGTACACTGAAAAAAAAAATTGGTTAATTTGACTAAACCTTTCAACTAAATTACTATTTTCTTAATTGAACATATATTAGTATTTAAGTCAAATATACGTTATATTCGATTTAATGTTTTATTTAATTTAAATATTTTTATATATTTAATTAACAAAATAATATTTAATTAAAAGGTTTAGTCAAGTTAACAATTTTTCTCACTGAAGAACAGTAGATATATTTAGAGCCAACCTTTTCTCTTCATCGTGGCACATTATTTCTTCTAATGCGTAATTATTGTGAACACGCGGTATATTATTTTGCGTTTTCAAAATTAAAAACAAAGATAAGAATTTATCTGAGAGATTATTGAAATTTATCCTTTATATTTATCCCTCTGTGAGTCTCTCGAGAGTTACCACCGAGTTTAACAATAAATGCGCTAATTGATTTACAGCATATGTGTGTGCGTATGACCTAACTATCGGGTTACTCAGCAAAGAGCGCGTCTCCTCGTACGCGATCGGCGATAATGGAAAAATGGCATGGCACTCGATAATACGTTAAGCCAGTGTTCGCCATGGAGGGATTATGCCTCAACTTTAGGGGTGATTACGGCGAATATATGGGGGTTGTAAAATTTGACTTTACGAGCTTGCATTTTAAGGCATTGAGTACGGGCTTTTAATAACGCATTACTCGTCTTTTTTACGCGAACGTGACCCGCAAAATCGTAACGCGTGATCGTTGTTTCACATAGACATCATACACATAATACCTCAAAAAATCCTGATTTTTAACATTGAAATATGATAGTATAAAAATATATATTCGAAAAATTTTTAATTTAACTCATTGTTTATTTATTTTTTCTTCTTTGTTACGTATCTTACTCTTTCAATAAAATAAGGTAATCTTTGTTAGCGTTTAATTCTTAAAGGACATTTGATCAGTTGTAAAGATTAATTTCTGTTACGCATGATTTTGTGGTAAACCAAAGAAATATTAATTTATACTAGATATAGCACACACGAGAAACTGTGATAAACTGGCCGAATTTATTGCTTTTTATTACTTTCAACGTCTCGTTTTTGATCATGTTCTTTGTTTTTAATTGTACGATTCTGTAATTGATCGATTATGAAATCTTAAATGATAACTGATGTCACATATAATTAAGTACGTAATATACTGTCTTAATTAATTTTAAAAAAATTGTTAACTATCATTTTGAAGATAAATCTGTAACTTTATATTTTTTCATTATTTTGTCCTTTCGCTTCTGGCCACTGGACGTGAAATTTAAGACACTATCAAAAAAATTTAACAACGGTTTAATCTTGATTTTTAATCACGTGTTCTACCCGTCCGAACGAATCATCATTTTCAGAA